GGGCCTTTCTCACCAGCCCATGAGGCTGAAAGTCCTAGTAGCTCTCAGCAGGAACCCTGTTCATTACCTTCACAGAGCCACTTCAATCACTCTGCAGTTGTGCGCTTACTTACCTGTTAGTAGTCCCTCCCACTGTCATCCTACCCCCCAGCCTGGACGAGAGGTCCAAATCTGGCTTTTCCTCATGGCCACACCTCAGCTCCTAGTGCTGTTCCTGGCATGCAGTGGGTGCTTAATGAATAGGTGAATGAATGAATGGATTATCATTAAATGGGTTTCAGGAATGGATTTTCAAAATCAGAATACAAGATTCAATGTGCACAACACAAGCTATGGCTACAAAATGCTGTTGGAAGGAAACCAGAAATTCAATAGGCCCAGTTGCTTGGCATCTCTAGTCTTTGAATGATGGGTGAATTTCTCTAGGACTATAACAGTCCATGTTATTGAGGGACAAGCAGAGATCTTTTAGAAGGCTCAATGCCAATCCCAGGCAGGAATCCCAGTTTCTCCTCAAAGCCTACATGTCCTTGGAGCACTCTTGGTTAGCAGGCACAGCCTGGAAAGAAGGAGTCCCATGACCACAGTGTGGTCTAGCTCCTGCCTCCAGCCAAAGCAGCCAGAGCTGTCTTTTCTAGCTCTAGAACAGTGCCATCATATAAATGATGAACTGGTTTAAACAGTTCAAAATGTACTCACACCTCAGAACACTGTTCGGGTAGAAACACTACCCCTTGGAGCTCAGGGGGGATGCCCTTAGCACTCAGCAGGTGCAACAGGAACCATAGCCAGCTTTCACTGAGCACATGCCATGCGCTGTGCATGGTGCTCTGTGCTCGACACGTATGATCTTATTTCATCTTCCCCTTGGCTCTTCCTGGAAGGTCTTTTGGAGCCACAAAAAGGCAAAGCCACTAAGCCTCATAAGCATGAAAACTCCTGACAAAGGTCACAAAGTTTATTCCTTCCACTCACACCAGAAGTAGCCAAATCACAGGTCAATATGGCCAGGTTGACAGCATACAAGGAGATCAGAGCCTCCTGTACCAGAGACTGTCCCTGTCCCCCACCTCCAGATTTATAAATGGTGGCAAGCAAGTCAATTAAGAAGCATAGTGCAAAGTCCTTATCAGTTAGAATAGTACTTATAGATGTAATAATATGATGTCTTTCATTTACTTTAATACACTTAACTCAGTAGGTGGTGTGTTATTTATTTATTTGTTAATTGCAGAACCAGAGATTGAACTAAGCTCTTGCACTTGCCAGGCAAGCGCTTATTCTACTGAGCTATCTCCCTGGCCTGGTGGTGTGTTTTAAAAAGGGATAGTGGGCAGATGAAATACAACTTAGCAAAACAATACTAACTATTTAAAATAACACTAGGTATAGGGAAAATCATGATGCTATTCTCTCTAAAAATCCCATCCCTCTCATCTAATCTCCTTCCTTTTGTCCCCCTTTCCTTCCTTCTCCCTCTGCCTGCTTCCTTCAGCAGATATGCAGCCCACATGTGTGTCAGCTTGTGACCTCTGCCCTATGTAACTGTCCTCTAATAGTGACAAGCAAAACAGCCTTAAGCACAGCTGTTATGCTTCTTTCCTGAGTGGTGATCACATCTCTGATGCTCCTGCGTAGAACAACATTTTGTGCCAGTGCCTGCCTGCCACAGGAGCCCAGAGATCTGCTGCTGGCCAGAGAATACTTGAGGTACTTCACAGGATTCTTTTTTTTTTTTTGCGGAACCGGGGATTGAACTCAGGCCCTTGCGCTTGCCAGGGAACCGCTTATTCCACTGAGCCATCTCCCCGACCCCCTCTTTCCCCCCCACAGGATTCTTTATATATGGTTTCTTATCAAAATGTGAGGTCAGTCAAACACTTTGTGTCACTTCTTCCTGCTGTGTAGAGCCTGCTCTTCTTTAAGCTTATCAGGGAGACAAGAGAGTTGACCAATCCCAAGTTACATTCCCCAAGTCAGTTTCCTCCAATTTGTCAAGTAGACAGAAACATGCCCAGCTTCCAGTCATTCGCCTATGATTTGTATACACAGAAGGCTTTTTGTGCAATGTAAATTACTGATTTTTATCCTTCTAATGGTAGGTGAGAAGCTCTACCATTTACAGTCAATGAAAAAAAATTTTTTTTAAAAAAGAAGCCAACCAATACCACATGCATCTTATTCTAGTACCATGTGCTTTTCAAATCCATAATTCCCAGTAATTTCAAAATGCCACCCTCTTTAGCAAAAGACATAATTTGCAATCAGACTGGGTAAAGACAGATAGCCATTACTTTCTTAATGGCCAACTCACCAAAAAGGCTCGGTTAAGTGATCTCAACTAGCAATCTAATCAATTAAAATTGATAACTGAAACACTTTTAACCTTTATTTCAGCAGGCCATCCTTGGGGGGTGGGATGTGAATTCCCAGCATAAAGTTTAATTTCATTTCATGAATGTAAACATTCTTGTTGCCCTGCTGGGGTAGTCTCTTTAAAGGATGCTATTTCCCTTTCTCTCTTTGGATCAAATCAGAGAGAGACTAGTTTATGATTCTCTCCAGCCAACTCGATCAATTTAAGCCCTTATAGAAATTCCTGAGGCCATGTCTCAAGTGTAAGAGGGCCACAGGGGATGGACAGAGAGCATACTGGGGTCATAGCTTCTTTGTTCTTCCTAGAAAGGGAAACATAAATGAGCACAAGTACCAGGAAGACTGAAAGAAACTGGACAAGGAAGTCTAGGCAGAGTTCGCACACACTGAAAACTATTTGTGTTAGGAACCAGGCTGTGTTCCTTACTAGCATCATCCCACTTAATAGACAAGCCATGCAGACCATAGGCTGCTGTGTGCAGCTACCTGGGAAGCACTGTATTTGGTCACATATAATTCACAATGCCTCAGAACAAGCTGGTCACAGAAAAAAGACCCCCCCATTTCACAAATGAAATGGTGCTGGGAGGTCTTAGTTATTTGCTCGAGATAATACAGAGCAGGGCAAGAAAGGCTGGAAAGTCTACACTCTATGGTCCATATATCTTGATTATACAGCTGAACAGTACTGCAAAAACTCACTGAAATACACAGGAAAGGTTGGTGAATTTTACTGTATATAAATGATATTCAACAGAGTTGATTTAAAACAACAATACTTCAGAGAGTGGCCATCTGCTGTTCTGCCTGCCTGGTCTCCATTTCTCTGAGATTATCCTTTGAGGGAGGACCCCTTCCTTGCTCAATCTCAATTGGTAAGGTTCAGAAAAACTGATCTTACTGCTCATCTCCAGAGCTGGCCATGTGACCCTAGGTGAGCCAGCCAGTGCCTCCTATTCCTCTGACCATTGCTGGGTTCATGGCTGTCCTACAATCCAAGCCAGGCCAAGGAGGGCTCTCCTCCAGACCTCTCCACAACTTACATAGAAAGAGCAGCTCTCTTATATCAGGGCTGCTTAGCTGATCTGGAAAATACTAGGGCTGTGTGTGGCCATATTCCTACTGTGATACAAGCCCTCCTGAGAATGAAACTGAACCTAAGAAAAATCAGCTGAGAAATGAGAAGGGCAATTTCCTGATGATACTGTTTGGGTCTCCAGATCCAGTCATGCCTGAAGACAGACCATTCCTAGACTTTCCAGTGACATCAGCCAGTTCCCCTTTTTCTCCATATGCCTGTCTAACTTGGGTTTCTGTCTCTTAGAACTAAAGACTTCTAATTTATCACAGTGCTTTTAAGAAACAGAAAACCACGCATTTCTTCAGTGTGCAATAGCTATGACAAATGCAAGAAAGAGGAAGTTGTAAAATTATGAGAAGAGTTCTGGGGACGTGACCAGGCTTTATAGGTATCATCTCCTTTTTTTGTTGCAGTGCTGGGGATTGAGCCCTGGGCTTTGTGCATTCGAGGCAAGCACTCCACCAGTGACCTTGACCCTACCTGACTTACTATCTCCTTTTTTTTTTTTTCTTTATGTATTTGGTACAGGGTCTCCCTGTGTAGCTCTGACTCTTAGTGATCCTGTTTTCAGCCTCTCCAGTGCTGGGATTATAGGCATGTGCCACCATGCCCAAACTCAGTCTCCAGCTTGTTGTGCCCCGGGGGCAGGTTTGGCTGGCATGCGGGACTGAGGACCCAATGCTGGTCCCTGTGCATACCCTGAGCTATGCATCCCACTTAATAGACAAGCCACGCAGACCATAGGCTGCTGTGTGCAGCTGCCTGGGAAGCACTGTGTTTGGTCACATGTAATTCACAATGCCTCAGAACAAGCTGGTCACAGAAGAAAGACTACCCCATTTCACAGATGAGGAAATGGTGCTGGGAGGTCTTAGTCATTTGCTCGAGAGAATACAGAGTAGGGCAAGGGAGGCTGGAAAGCCTACACTCTATGGTCCCTATATCTTGATTATACAGCTGAACAGTACTGCCAAAACTCACTGAAATACACATGCTATCTCACTGGCCCTCTCTATCTCCTTTAATACTCACCTCATATTGCAGATAAGAACCCTGAGGCACTGCCAGGTGAAATAAGCAGGCCAAGGTTATAGGAGAAGCACATCTTCTACAGGTTAGAGGAGATTTCAGCTTATCTCAGCACTTATAATTTGCAATCTTTTTGCAAGATTTCTTTCATTATAGAAAAATCCTTTTATAGCTGGAATTACACAGAAAACCTTTAATAAATAATACTATCAAAGCAGTGCTGCTGTGGCCATGTGGAGAGCATGGGCCTTGGAGCTGGGCTTGTTCCTACGTAGCTTCTGATCATTCTGCATGTACGCTCCCAACAAAGCCCCAGCCCCAGGGGCAGAATCCACAGGCTGGCTTCAAGGTGTCCATGCCTAGGGCTCTTTCCTTTAGAACTCTCACAGGATGTGCATGCTGTGCACAGTCATAGGCCAACGGCAATACGAGATGCAGCTCATGTGCCCACACCCCCACTGAAGTGTCCTGTGTCCCCTGGCTTCCTGGTGTTGACTCAGGGTGGCCAACTTACTCAGGTCCAGGACGTCATCGGTTTTGATCAGGTCCTCCTCCCGAGTCAGAGGCAGCTGGGTCTCAGGCTCCCCTTGCAGCTGCAGTGACAGGGAACGCAGCATGAAGAACACACGGATGGCCTGGGCAACAATGAAGAGAGTAGAGAGAAGTGAAATGGCAGCAGTGCTTCAGTGAGGTGTCTGTCTTGACACCACACAATGACTTGATTAAAAAGAACAAAAGGAAGGTAACAAAACATAGCCCAACCTATTAGCACAGCAGTTCTAGTGCTTTCACAGCAAGGCTCAGGTTCACAGGGCAGCAAACTGCTCTCATTATCCACAGGGTCAGGTTGGAGTCATTTTACCTCACCTGTCCCCCACAGGATCTGTACCCTGTGGTGTGATCCTTACCACATTCCCTGCACAGAAATAAGCCCCACTTCACAGAGAGGCAATGCAGATCAAGGGAAGGAAAGTGACTTGCCCAAGGCCTGCTTCTAGGGAGGGCTAGAACCAGGCTCTTCCAACTGAACCAGAGGGGCTAGTGAAAACCAAGTGTTTCACTGGAGAGACAAGGAGACGAGATGCCTGTTGGCTTCAGAGCTGGTGAAAAGAGCCAAGTAAACCTTATCCTTGCCCCTCCCTGGAAAATCCCTCCACCTCTCAGTCCTCAGCCTTATGACTGGGAGAGCACAGTGATAGCGAGAGGACAGGTACTGGGCAAATGTGGAAGATATCCCCTGAATGTCCCTTAGGCTCTTCTAGCCAGCTCTCTGTGGAAGAGGCAGCTCCACCAGTACAAGGATTCCTGACCCATGAAGAGATGTGTCAGAATCCAGTGTGGCCATCAGGCATTTCCAGAGAGCAGGAAATATGCAAGAGTTCCCAGAAGCCAATCAATCAGTCAAGGTTGCGTAGGAAGCAACCTTTAGCCACAGAAAGAGGCTTGCCACAACCAGAGTCAGCAGAGGGACAGTCCACATCTGAGAACACTCCTGGCCTCTCTCTCATGCACAATGGAGAGGCGTGATTAGGGGACATGGCTCCAGAGTCACAGACAGGTCTAGCTGAATCTCTAGCTCTATTGTGTTGGACAAGGCCCCAGCTTCTCTGAATTTCATTTTCCACATTTGAGAAATGCGCATAACAATTCCTAATGCAGGGCTAGGTAGTTCTGAAATAATGCTGGAGGGGAAGCAGTCCACATGGGGCTCCATAAAAGGGCCTCAGTCCAGGTTCTCAATAGGTACCACACTGAGCAGAGGAGGCCACAGGGACAAAGCACTGGTAAGCAACATAAATTTCCAGTGTACCTCTAGGCCTTCTTTTTCGTGTGAAGAGAAGCTTCACACAGCAAGATGCTGCCTCATCTATGAAGGACAAATCTCTGCCTGCAAACAACTGGCAGAGATGATCCAGGTAAGGATGTTGATGAGCTACTTGCCTTGGCCTCAACCTGCTGGGAGACTTGGACCAGTTTCCTGATGAGAAAAGAAAGCATTTCTACTGCCAAGGCCTGTGTGAAGTAAGTAGCATTCTCTGTAACTTACAAAGTACTAGAGAACAGTAAACTTCCATTGTGATGGTGGAGGCATTAGTAACTGTCCTGAATGTTCTAACACTTTTTAAAAGTGTAGTCTTCATAAAGACATTTTTCAATCACCAGAAGAAAAAGATAATTTCATTAAACAGATCAAAGGGTTTCTATCTAGTAAGCACCTATTAGGAAGCTTTACTGCAACTTTAAGACTTCAAGTAGGAAGACAGGGAACTGAGAGGACTGAATGACCTTGGTTCACGCAGTTGCAAAGGACTGAGACTCAGCAATGTCAGGCACTTGTGTCACTAGCATAGAATACCAGGAAATGACAATCCCCATGCCACCTCATGGCAGAAAGCCCAAGATGTGGGTGGTCACTGGAAATATCTGGTGGTTTGAGATCTCAAATTAGGAGTCATGATGTTAGGTGTTGAGAAATAGGAAAAGAAAAAGGCCCATTTTGAGCAGGTGAGAGTCAAGATGACGCTTTGTTTCCTTGTCAAATCCCATTCCGCTCAGGTTCTGAAGGCAAAACCCAAGCAGGATCCCAGGTAGGGGATGAGAAACTAGAACTGAGTGTTGCTTCTTTAGCCAATCACCAGAAAAACGGAGGCTTTCCAGTGAATATAAATAGGAGTTCAGAATTGGCTCCTAATGTAGGCTTTTTGCTCTAACACCTGCTTTTGCTCAGCAAAAGACAAATGGAAGATATTTCCAGGAATACAAACAGGTATAAAAGTGAATTAATTTAAAAGAAAATAAGCCAGGTGTTGCAGCTTATTCCTATAATCCCAGCATTTGGGAGGCTGAGG